GTGTGTGTGTTCTTTATAACGCTCAGCATAATTTCTTACCCTTTGAAAATGCTCAGTACATGTTTGCTGAATGACTAGATGAGGCACGTGGACTATTGAAAGAGGTAGACATACAAGATGAGCCATAGGAGAGGGACATGAAACACAAGCACAGGAGGGGTGGGAGAGGAGTGGAGGTGACCTGCTCACCTTTTCCACTCCCCTAGAAGAGGTGTTGGAGCAGAGTTAGAAGACATGGGAATCCTTGTAGGACAGAGAACTTTCATCCTTATCTCGCTAATGATTCCATTTTTTTTCCAGTGAGGCCCAAGCCCTGGATGAATGGATGGACCGTCCACGCCTTTATGCCCCCTGGTTGCTGGTTTTTCTGAGATTCGATAGAGGAGACTGACTTTAGCTTAGTAATTATTTGCTCCTCTTGGAACAAGATTAGCATGAGGGTGTTCATCACAGCACTGGGGAGGATGAGTTAGGAAGTGAGCTCCTTTTTTTTTTTTTTTTGCGGGGGTGGGGTCCTGCACCACGTGGCCTGCGGGATCTTAGTTCCCTGACCAGGGATTGCACCTGTGTCTTCTGCAGTGAAAGCGCCAAGTCTTAACCACTGGACCGCCGGGGAAGTCCAGGAAGTGAGCTATTGAACTCACTTTGTCCTGATTCACTAGCATCTGGGGCAAAAGCTGGCCCCATTCTGTGCTTCTTTTGCTCAGAATTCACAGTCAGGACCTGACACAGCAAGAACCCACCACGGAGTGTTTCTGAGCCCCTAACTCACATCATTGCCTTTGATGGCTCATGAGATTGTACTGGCAGCAAAAGAGGGCTGGGAGCACTCTAAGGGAGAGAGCAGCAAGGTTGTTCACATGTTTTAAATTATTTAGTTGCATCAAATATTCAGATTTGTGAGAACATCAGCGACTCTATTTAAAAACTCCAAGCAAGTCATGGATGAACTCAGTGTTTCCAGACAGTTCCCAGCTTCCAGCCCACACTCAGAGAATATTCTAAGAGTTACTCAGGCTCATTTGGGTCAGCCTCCACCTCTCGGCATGAGCTAAAGGGCAAGTGCCATCCAAGGTTGGTGATACTTGGTGTATGTTTTTCAGATAAGTGAATTTGAATGAGCGGTCTCATTGCACCCCATATCTCACCTCCCAGAGAAAAGAGCTATTCAACTTAGGAAATCAGGGTTGCAAGGTTCACACAGTCATGATTTTTGTGTAGGTGGGTGTGTGAGCTTAATCCCTTGGGGATCGTGCCTGTGAAATATGTGTGTGTTTCTGCGTATGAAGTTGCTGCTCTTCTCACAAAGCTTCATTATTTTAGGTGAGACCCAGTGTGACACCTTTTGAAGCTGTTTGGAGCTCAAGATGTGTGTCCTAATAACAACCATTTATTGAATATTTCCTATACACCCAAGAAAGAAAGAAAGAAAGAAAGAAAGAAAGAAAGAAAGAAAGAAATTACATTATGTTATCTAACATTTTCACTCAAAAAGCCCCAATAAGCCAGGTATTATTATTCCTATTTTATAGATAAGAAAAGAAAGGCTCACAGATGTCATTCAAAGTCACATCAAGGTCTGATTCCAAGCCCGGGGTTTCTTTCCATCATACAGCAATATCTCTTTTCTGGCAGGTTTCTAAGACTATCCTACATAAGATCTGATAGCCCTGTCAAAACATTAAATAACACTTGCCCCTCTATAAAGGTGACCTCTGGGGAGGGGAATAGGAAGTGTGTGGGGGAGGGGGTATGTGGGTGTGGTTTCTGGGAAGCTGGTAAAGGTCTACCTTTATTATGATAGTGGTTGCACAGAGTGGCTCTCTTTGTGATAACCCATCAGGTTATACCTCATCAGGGTATACACATAGGATTTGGGCTTTTCTTGTGTTTGTTAGACTTCAATAAAATGTTTAATTAAAACATCCTTCCTAAAAAACAAAAACAAACAAACAAAAAAACATCCTTCCTAGCAACTAATGTTGGAGGGGAGCCCTGCCTCCCATGGTCAATATGCTCTAATTAATCGTCAGGATTCCCTGGACTCTATTACACAGCAAATTTAAAAATAATACAAATATATCCAGAACTTCTGCTGCCAATGTCCTTGTCCTCACGGTGAGCCACAGCCACCCCCCCGCCTCTGCAGGAGACCCTCCAACGCTAGCAGGTTTACTCGATATATATGGAAGGAAGGAAAAGGACATGCCTGCCATTTTATGGATTAAGAAGAATGCCTGGAGTTATGCCGGGAAAGTTATCATTTCTTACTTTATCAACTGGAGATCTTTTATAGTTTTGGGATAATTAGTAAGATTATTGAACTATCATTAATTCAAATCTGAGTTTCAATTAATTTAATCAGACTATCAGATGGAAATCTAGGTAACTTGAGGCTTTGATTCAGTGGGAAGATAAAAGAAAGAAGGAAAACAAGGAATAAGGCATCAGACTCTGTGCGGACCAATATTATATGCTGGTTGTATCATACTGCCATTTTAATTTTAAGACTTTTTAAAATTTGGATATTCACAAATAATGTGATGTAATTAGCTTTATCAAGTGAAATGTATACAGTAAGCATTATAATGTATACATGACCCATGAGGAATGTTTGATCTTCAGACTAATGTCCCCTCCAGGGGTTCCCTGGTGGCACAGTGGTTGAGAATCTGCTTGCCAATTCAGGGGACACGGGTTCGAGTCCTGGTCCAGGAAGATCCCACATGCCGCGGAGCATCTGGGGCTGTGCGCCACAACTACTGAGCCTGTGCTCTAGAGCCCGTGAGCCACAGCTACTGAAGCCCGCGCGCCACAACTACTGAAGCCCGCGCGCCTAGAGCCCGTGCTCCACAACAAGAGAAGCCACCACAAGGAGAAGCCCGCGCACCGCAACAAAGAGTAGCCCCCGCTCGCCACAACTAGAGAAAGCCTGCGCGCAGCGACGAAGACCCAACACAGCCAAAAATAAATAAACAAAATACATTAATTAAAAAAAATACAAATATGTTGATACCTTGCCCCTTTACAAAAAGGTTTCTAAGCGTATCATAATAAAAAGTCATGTACAAAAATAAAATAATATTAAGACGAGGTGACCAGTATTATAGGAAAAGGAAAATTGCTACACATATGTGTTACTCTGTTGAGCATCACAGAGGGTTTAAGGCCAGCTTCTGCTCTCAAGATGCTTACAACCAAGCTGAAGATATTGAGTATTTACTAGTGGTAAGTAGACACCTGTCTTCAAATATACTGGAACTCATAGGAAAAGGCTCTCTTCCAATCTGGTAATCAATAAACCCAAAGGAAGTGAAAGTTCTCATGGGCTACATCCTACATTTCATGAGTGGGTAATTGAGGTGGGAAAGACCACACTTGATCAATAATTTTAAATCTTTGACCACCAAATCTTAAAGCTTTTAAAATTATTATTTATATCTTTATAAGATGGTTTAAACTTGGAGAGACCCATGTATCTAGTCACCAGGATGCTTTTGTAATTGATTTGTAATTATGTTCCCTTTTGTTTGCATGCATTTTCTACTGAGGCTAGATTCACCACCTCAAAGAACACAGATCTTATTCTAGTTTACTTCAAACTGTAGTGGTTTTTAAACTTCCTGACTGGGGAAGTTACACACTTTCCTCCTTCTCTATACCCTAGGGGCTTAGGGACCTGGAGGGAGAAGTCACTGGGCTATTCAAATCTATAGCCCACTTCCCTTAGTAGTTGGTTTTCTGCAATTTGTGTCAGAAATAGCCAGCGTGGCACACGGCTGTGTTTCTGAAACTTTAATGTGCATATTTATTTTCTAGGGATCGTGTTAAAACACAGATTCAAATTCAGCAGGTCTGGGGTGGAGCTTGAAATTTCACATTTCTAACAAGCTCTGAGGTAATGCCAGCGCTGCTGGTCTATGGACCAAACTTGTAGAGGGAAAGGAATATTAGGCTTTGAATCATAATTCCTGGCCTTGTTTCCTTGAACAAGTCACTTTGCCTCTCCGGATCTGAGTTTCCTCAAAAGTCAACTGTATAATAGGCGACCAAAGTGGATGCAATTACTTTGAAGCTTACATTCATGGAATTTTCAGAGTGATACTTTGATTTTTAAAAAATCTCCACTTATAGGACCATGTACAGCCTTTCAGGGGACTAATAGATAAACCGATATTAGCAAAGTGGGAAATATAAGGGCTGAATGAGGAGGGCAGAGAAAGGGATGAGGTGCAATAACGACTTCTTATGGCAAATATAAGGTTCTGATGCTTCAGAGTGATGGATGTTGGATCAATAAGTGTTGCCTAGAGAGATGCTGCTACTTTTTCCCAACAATCACTTCAAGAGGATGTTTTTGATAACTTACATTATTGATAATTTAGTTATAATCTAGTTATGTTACTGATAACTTAGTTGTATAAAAAAACATGAATGAGGGAAGCAAGGGGTGAGTGCGAGCAATGAAATAAGCAAACACTTTCAGGAGGTTATGAGTGAGTCATGGCTGGAGGGCAGCTTTCTGGAGGCACAAGGGAATCTGGATTGGAAACAACAGTTTATTTCTGCTGCAGATCATTTTTATGTTTAATTTCAGCCAGGAATTCAGATATTTGACCGCAGCTACCAGACTTACCGGGTCCGGAGCTTGTGAGGTAAGGGTGGGAGGACAAATGTAGCCGCCCACAAGGGTTACGGAGGGCAGAGGTGCTCGAGGTTCTCAGGGCTGAGAGGCAGGAAGAGTGAGTGAGAAAGGGACACAGGTGATTTAAATGCATGAACCAAGCTCCTGACCATCTGGACCACTGGGGCAGCCCCTCCCCCGCGTTCAAGCATCTGTTTTGAGCAGCAAACAGGATCACGCAGAAAGCGTTCTCTAGGCTCACAGATACAGGCTAGTTTCTCTTTAGGTTCCAAAGCCAAGCGAGGGGAACAGAGAGAACTGGTGACGGCGCCCTCTCCCAGGACTGAGATGGGGGCGGGGGACTAGAGATCCTTACCTTATACAGGACGTGCTCATGGAAGTCAGGGCCAGCTCCCCCCTGGTAGGAGTCGAGTCTCTGCAGATCCATGCCTGGCCTGGAGCCCGCTGCTCCCCACTCTCCCAGCGCTCTGCAGTCAATGCTCCCAGAAGCTCTGTCCGCGCTCTGCGGGGTGCAGCCGGCTCGGGTCTAAGCCCCGCGGACCGGGCCGCATCCGGTTCAG